AGCGCAGGCCGCTGTCAGCCCCTGCACTTCTTCGCAACGCTTGATCCGCCTCGTTTCCCTCCCAGATCCTTTCGAGGGTTTCGAGTTCGGCCTCCAACTGCAAGCGACGCTGTCTGAAAGCCGGCTCCTCAGGGAATTCTGCGAGTAGATTAGTCGGCGTTCTGGTTCCACTGACTGGAGTTTGAGCACCATCTCGGAGGAGGTCAGCGGTGGTGATAAGCCCTAACGGGTTCGGGGCGGGGGTGGCATTATCGGTGGCTCGATTCAGAGCCTTGGCCACTTCCTTTTCCTGGAGCTGTCGCATAAAATTCACATTTGCTTTCAGTGGTGTATATTCCTGGCGACGGAGTAGGTGCTGTGAAGGAGCCAGAGAAGAAAAAGAAATGCAAAAGAGTAAATATGTGAGGGGTAAACTGCGAATATGCCATCCCTCCCCCCGAAAGTTGGTGGCTTCAACCTCTGACTACCCCCCAACACTATGGCCGTTTATTGCACGTCAGGACGATACAACCATCTGTTGCAAGACGAGGCAAATCCAGATGACACCTAAAATGAGTCACGTTAATCAGGGTATTGAACGCGACTGAAGCCCTTCGAGTTTCCCCTGAAGTGACTTCAGATGTACAGTAGGTGTTATAGCTCATGAAATCCAAGGATTTTAAAAGAAAATCCCTGGTAAGCAAAACTAGCCCAAGCTACGTTCTCCAAATTTCTAATGTATAAAAGTAAACATCGTAGTAACAAAGATGACATGTAGAAATTTAATAAAGTAATATTATGTGGTAAAGTAGTTTTTTAGAAGCACAGAAAATTTCGAAAATATTAAAAATCGGAGATACGAAGTGAACTTAACCTTTACATATGTAAGCAGTGTGTTCATACAAAAGCCGAGTGAATAAAGCAGCACAAGTAAAATTACGTTTGAAAATAACCCTTTGTGACGTTTTCGGACAAATATGCTGATGTATTACGCGGAATGAAAGGAACGGCTGTAACCGAATAGCCCAAAGTCCCAGTTAGTAATAGAAGATGATCTCCCAAAACCTTCCAGTTGTTTCTTTTTTCTACCTCTTTTGAGATACGCTGGGCTAATTCAAACGGATTTTCAGTTGAGTTTGCCGATTGGGTCGTCAGATAAGTAAGGGATTTTGTAAGCTCAGATGCGGACATGCCAGTCCGTGACTAATAAATTTAAATCAGTTTGTAGTGTGCAATCGTAAACATACCACCTTGTGCACATTGAGAGAAATTTCCTTCTGCCAAATTACTTCGTAATTGTTTCTGGCTTTTATTAAGGCTCTTTTATAGTACAACACGCACAAACTGTTTTGCTCTGCAGCGTTTACTAGTGTAGGAGATTCCTTGGATATCAAAAAATACTGGATTTGGTTTGGCCCAATTCTACCCCCATTTGTCTCCAGTATACTGATCTTAACTGAAATGTTTTCTATTATACAACATTTTGCACCTCAAGTCAACCCAATGAACAAAATAAACAACCTCAAATGTGTGTTAAATCCCTATCAAATGTTGATCTTCACACTTCATCAGATATACTATTTACTGTAGATGGGTTAAAGTCAACGGATTGAACTTGCTATTAGCTCATGGAACCGTGAAACATACATCGCTTAGTGAAACATCGCTCATGAAACCATGAAGCCTGCATCGCTTAGTCATGGGTAACATAGCATTTGAGGTGGCCTAACCTCCCGGTTTATGAGTAGCAATCAGTCATTGACAAAAAATAGGTAAATTTTCCTGTACAACAGCTCAGGAGATTTCGTATACCTTTCGATATTCCGTGGCAAACATGGCGTCGTCACCGGCATAGAGGTCCCCCAGGCGGATCATGTTGTCCATGAAAGTCACAAGAGGGTGAGTCATTTCAAGCTGACCTTCCACATCCTCCAACTCCTTCATGATCTCGTTCATTTCTGCAGCTGCTGCCGGATTTGTGCTAAATGATACAAAACAACTGCAATTACCTTGGTGTCTTGCAACAAGAGCAGCGGTAAATGGAAGAGAGAAAAATCAATCAAAATAACGTGTGTATAGGGGATTCTACTGTCATTGAACTCGAAGAATTTATTCCTGCGAGGTGGAAAAGCCCAGTTACAGACTGATTTTAGGAGAAGGTTAACATCAAGTAATTACATCGATCGAAATTTTTCGTGAAGGCGCAAATTAACTTTCGACCAATAGTCTCCAAGCCCATATTCTCCTACTAGGAGCTTTCTATTTCATTATACAGTTTGCCGTTTCGCTAACTGCAAAACTCCACTCTATGTAGGTACTTCTGCTTGACTTTTACTAATCGTAGAACATTCCGGGTCGACATAGTAAGTCAATAAAAGCCTCTAGCCGGATCTTCATACAAGGCATGTGGGCTTAAATAAATTTTCAAAATACCAAAATTGGCGGTATTCAGTTTATTGTCGCGTTGTACCACACCGGTCGAAAAAGCTAGGCATTTCTGCATGCTTGCTAAAAATTGATCAAAAATCCCTGCAATCTTTCCAAAACCTGCCTTTATTTGATAAAATACATGAAACCGCGGTCGCAAATAACTGTTTCTGGGACTTGGTCAACAGACCATTGCACATATATAAATAGAGTGAAGTACTCATACGAGCATTATTTTTAAAAGTCATCTTGGCAAGCTCTCATGGTAAACAGTATCGCTACTTTTGGTTAAAGCACTTCACACATTTTAGGGTGTTGAATATTAAAGTAGATGATGTATATCATAAAAAAATAATTAGAAAACTGGAGTATGATTTCTATTAGAATGTATTACGTAGGTGGGATTGTAATATTGATTGGCATGTAGCATAATCATAAAATATTTCTGTTTTGGCAGGATGCTGGACTTTCAATGCTCCTCTTTCCAATTACCTGCAAAATTTCACTAGCCAGAACTGGCTGCTTATAAATCAAAACTGTGCTTATAAATCTCTAAAAATCCAACCATGATTCATAGAGAGCAATACTCATAATACTCATTTTGTAGTGAATTCCGTCTCCCTCAAAGTTTATTTCTGAATAAATTGCCTGTTTCGATTTCATAAGAGTTTAAAATTCGAACATATTTGGACACAACAATTTTTTCCAAGTGTAGTAGTTTCAGTATCTGTAGGATACCCCCAAAAATCAAATTTTAAAAGCTTCTGTTTTACCTAAGGGTTTCGTCTGAGTAGCACACGTCACAATAAATGAGCACCATTTCGACCCAAAACAAGGAATCTCAGCATAGAAGGCGATAAAGCATCGTCAAAATTGGAAGCTATTTTGATTATTCTTGTCTTCCTAACAGTGATCGACAGTTGTACAGCCTGCACATTTGACAGGATATTATTGAAATTAGAGCGTACTCAGACCGTTCTATTCAGGCTTGGAGCTTCCGCAGCCATAACATTTTACTCATCATTTTTTTCCGGTTGTCAATTAAACAAATGTTGCTTGTTCGGGACAAAAAGGCGTCTAATGACTATAGTAAGTCAACGGAACGGATTTATCGGAGGAAAAAACTCAGAGTAGTTGGAGACCCCTGACAGCCGTATTCAATTTGAATGGTTTGAAATGCAACAGTTGCGAATGTTTACTCGGTTGTTTAGCTGATACAGCGACACTTTAAAACGGTCAAGCAATTTGTTAGTCACATCCTTAGTGAAGTCACTCACCTCCTGCACTCTGAACTAATGGCTGCGAAGTCTTCCCGTACGTTGCGCCGGAGCTTCCGTCATATGTCTTACCGTACATCGGCATATCAGCACTGTATACTCCCATTCGTAGCACGCTACCTCACGTGTGAAGAAACGAAAATTCAGAAGTTGCAATTCGGCCTGTCTCCATAACAGATGGGGATATCTTGTAAACCTTTAAACTTTGAGTATTCTATGACCTTTTACCTTACCTTATCCCTTGCTCTCCGTGAATAGAGTCATTTATTGCAAAATATTTTGGATATTTAACTTCAAAGTAAAGCATATTACTCTTTCTCTCTCTCTCAGGATTACTTTGGAGAACCTGTCGTACCTTGGTTGAACTAATTAACTTTTTTCCACCTTGCCATGCATAGGAAAGAAATGCCAGTCACCCAGTCCGTCAGTGACGAAATTACTTAATGACTAATTGCCATCTGGTGAGGGGGGGGGAGGCGACAGTCCCTGTTACAACATGAAGGGACCCAGAGACACAACAAAGGCAGGGATGACCGAAGGCAGCCGTAAATTTTGACACAGAAACAAATTACTAGGTCTACAGAGAGAACTCTGCGCTGCTTTTTTCGTCATAG